ATCTATCTATCTATCTATCTATCTATCTATCTATCTATATCTTCTGACCTTGGGGAAATTATCAAAAGAGCTGTTTCCAGAAACATACTATTTTTAATAAATAAATGCTTAACAGTGTGAAAATATATTACAAGTTTGATTGTATTATTTTTCCAGATAGATAAAAATTTGCTTAAGCTTGAGGTTTCCTTTTTTTTTTTTTTCTTTCCCTTCAAATGTTAAGCCTTCAAAGAATTTGAATTTTCTTTTTAAAAATGTGCTGCAGGCAAAAAGGCAGTGATATGCTCTTGCATTGTAATGAAAAGAAAGCCCCAGAACGTGCTCTCCGGGTGGCCTGGACGCTGCTCTTGAAGACAGAGATCACTGCGATGGGAGAGTCCTCCGCCCTGGCAGTGTGGAGGGGCCCAACATAGAGGACCTGCTCCTCTGCGGTTCGCATTAGTTTTCTTTGGTTTGTGAAATCTATCATCTCAGAGAGAGCTAACGTCAATTATGTCACTAAATGAATGCATTAATCTATGAGCATCTCTTTGAAAATGCTAAGATCATGGCTCTGTGAAGAGAAGGAGTGTGTATGTGTGAGCTCAGGCCTGTGTGACCAGATCTGTGGTAACTAGGACAGGAATCACACCACAGAGCCACTAAAGGAAAAGAAAGCATAGATGAACTATGGGACAAGGATTTTCAAATCAACCCTTCCTGTGTCTCAGGCCAATTTACCCACCAAACAGTGTCAGGGTGGCTTCAAAGTCCTATTGATACAGAAGAATGAAGCTCCTAACTTGAAAGGTCCATGGGATGAATTTGTGTTCTCTAAAACTGAACAATGAATTTTAGGAACAAAGGGAGGTTAAGAGCAGAATATTTATTGGGGAAAAGAACTTCTGTTCGAGAGAGGGCCAGAAGGGGGACCTGAGAGGGAATCTGCAGTTTCCAGGGAGTTTTATAGAGCAAAACCGTGTAGTGAGGTGGGTCTAAGGTGAAAAACATGGGAACTTACTTGGGTGGGCATGAGGTGAGACAAAACTAGGGTCAACCAATAAGATTGCGAGCACTGTTGCTCAGGTATTCACTTCAGGTAAAATGGAAAAGTGAGTCCTATAGGAAGCAGGCATGAATACAGAGCAGGAGTTTATCCAGTAACCAGTAGCAGTTGGATTAGTGACTCTTCCTGGCTTCCTCAAGCTGATGACCCATCCCAGATGCTGATCTTTAGGGAGGTCAGCATTTGTTCAATCTTTGGTTCTTAGGTCTGGACCACAGTGGGAGCATCCATCTCTCTTACATTTGCAAGGTATCTTGTCTTCTGTGCTGTCTCCTTCAAGGGCCTTGCCCTGTCTGACTGCCTATAATATTTCTATCTAACTTCAACTCCTACAACACTATCACAGAAAACAACTGCCTCAGACACAGGAGTAGGGGAAGAGGACAAGTGAGAAAGAGATGCAAGTACAAAAAAAATCTCGCTATATTAGTGACAGATTTTTCATGTCAGTCAATTTGCTGAATTAAAGGATTAAAGTGTTTCTGAAAATATAGTCCCTTACACAGAACTGTTTGATTGAGTTAGGGAACCAAGAGTTGAGTGGGCTCTTCTTCTAGACATCTGGCAAGTAACTGATTTTATTCTAAAAGAATTCTATTTTTTCCCCCTTCTATTATGATTTTTGAAGCTTTAAATCACAAATAAAGTTGGTCCTTACAATCAGTGTGTTGGGATAACTGTAGACAAAGACCCAGAGTAATTAAACAAAAGAGGGAGGAACAGAATAGCGTGGAAAAGTCATGAAAATTTTCCACATAGACAGGACACACCCTCATGGAAACAAAGCTTTTGCATTAAAACTATATTTTATTAAAATGTGATAAAAGAAAAAAAAACTTGCTAAGCCCTGTGAGGGAATTAACAGTGGTCTCCCACCCCTTTTTAATTCTCCAAAATTCAGCCCCACATGTTAAACCTTTTGTTCTGTTTCCAAACTTCTATTTCCTTTCTGGAGCCAGAAGTTTGAGTTGCTGTCAAAAGCAAGAGAGAGAATATGTCAGTAGCTCTGGGTGTGTGCCCGCTGCTGTCCTCACCAAGTCTGTCTGCCACTGCTAACTGGCCAGCTGTGACAGGAGGCGTTTGACTGCCTCATCACAGACGAGTATCAGGCAGGTATGCTCTGCTAAAGCTGCGTCTCGTCTCTGAAGTTTGCTTAGTAGCTGGGGGGCGGGGGGAGGGGATTATGCACCTAGAACAGTCAGACTGTGGATAGTAAGATTGGTTGCATTTTCCATAAAAATGATGCAACCCAACTTTTGTATTGAACCTTCTACCTGTCGCACCAAGGAACAGCATGAGGTCTACTTGTGGTCCTATGTTATGTAATACCTTGGTGCTTTGCAATCTTGAAAGAACTTTGATACAAAAACTGACCTCATACATCCTTGGATGACCTATGGTGTGGGTAGGGTTGATGGATGCCTTCTCACCATTTCCATAGAAGGAAAAATGGGTAAATAATTTTCATAATAACACCAAGGTTACTTTGCACTTCAGTGGTGGAAAATGATTCCAAAAGAAGTGTTTCACTTCTCAAACAGGTATTGGCTTGTTCATTGTTAGTCTTTTCCATCACACCAAGCCACTTCTAGAAAGGAAAGCTGTGATTATCTGCTTTTTTTCTTGGGCAGGGGGAACTCAAAATTGAACTCAGGAACTTGTGTTTGCCAGGCAGGCGCTTAAGCCACTGAGCTATCTCTCCAGCCCTACCTTCCTAATCACAGGGCTTTCAGGTTGAATATTGGCACGAATATTTAGCTTAGAATTCTCAGTAGCTAAGATTGTCAGATGACAGCCTGTCCCATGTTTTCTTTTCTCTACTCCTCTATCATCATTTTGCCTATCTAGAATTTCTTCTTAACAGTCATAATAGTAACAGTATTCTCTTCTTTCTCTCCTTTCTTTTTCCTTCATCTTTTGCTCCTTTATTTCCTCACCCTTTCATCCTCTTTGTTTACTTTTTTCTTTTCTTCTTTTTCATTGTATTACTAAGTCATGCATGGCTGGAATATAAGAGAATAAAGTTTGAGATTCTGCACTACAATTTTACATCATATTTATGTATTTCTCCTATATTCTTGATAAAACTGTTTTTTTTTTTTTTGAGGAACTGGGGATTGAACTCAGGCCCTTGAGCTTGCCAGGGAAGTGCTTATTCCACTGAGCCATCTCCCCGGCCCCAAAACTGTTTTTTTTTTTTTTGAGGAACTGGGGATTGAACTCAGGCCCTTGAGCTTGCCAGGGAAGTGCTTATTCCACTGAGCCATCTCCCCGGCCCCAAAACTGTTTTTTTTTTTTCCTAAGATAATGATTTTCTGTAGAAGTGAATAATACAGGAGGCAAGTGTGGTTTTTATGCCAATTCAAAAAAAGTAGTGAAAAAATTGAGCTACTTAATTTATTATATGTTTTTCTACTTTAAGTTACAGGTAAAATGATGACCATGTCTTCTGGGTACAAAATCAAATATTTAAGGATTTTATTTCTTAATACTATTTGTTAGCCTCACCAAGAACCACTTTTAACATGAAATGCCAAGACATAATATCAAAATTTAGGGAAAAAGGAAGCCTGAGTTCTAATAAGAAGCTCTTGTCCTCATTGCTATTATTACCTGATAATTTCTCACACCAATGGCATTTTTAAAATAAATCAAATCTAGTAGCCAATGGAACAATAATAAGGACAAGAAGAGACATCACTCCATCACTCTATTAATCTGTTTGCCCTTGAGAAACTGAGAGCCAAGAGGGGACAGAGGTGTTCTGCACCTAGATGCTGTGGACAAAGGTCCTTCCAGGACAATGTCTTTCTTTTAGCTCTAGAGCAGTGGGTGGCTCTGTAGACATAAGTGCCCTGAGCTCATCTGCAATTAGCAATCTTCATCAATCATTTCTACTTCTGGACTCTTATCACCAACACAATTGCAACAACCCAGACTTTTAATAAACTTTAATTGCAAGTTTAATTTGATATTTACGTACCACTAAAAGAAGAGGTTTGCTGAGCTGATTATGCACATCCAAAATGATGCTTCTGAAGACTGAAATAAAACTTCCCACTAGGCATAAACAGAGTTTTCAAAAGAAAAGTATTTGGCTCTTGGTGTTGGGGGCTGGTGTTTTTAGACTTCCACCTTTAATGTGAAAATGAGTATTCATGTGGGATGGCTTTTGATTACCTATTGGAAAAATGCATATCAAGTAACAAATGTATAATTTATGGCCCGATTGCTTTAAGCAGAGAAGCTTAAGAACAAGATTTTGCAACTCAGGTCATTCTCTAGGGGAGGCAAACATATGATAATTATTCAGAATTGAAATCTGCCTGTGAAACATAGAACAAAGAGGAGAGGGAACTTAGAGAAAGGTCAGAGAAGCAAAACTTCCCACCACTCTCAGAAATATTTTCTTATCTTGATCTGTAGGAAGGGATGAAATGGTGGTTAACAGTTCAGAACACTCTACTGGGTAGGGATACTTGCTCAGCGGTGGTTTTCCCTTGGGTCTGGGCTCTGATGCTCTGTGCGATGCTCTTGGGGGGATGGATGGGTAGCTGCATCAGGAGGAGCTGAGAAATGTCCTCTAGCCAGGATCAGGACATGGAGGGACAATGGATCAATTTCACT